ATACCAGCTCCGTGATTGTTGCTTCAGTGTCTGTAAGCCCCAGTGAGCCCTGATTATTTCTGAATCTGGCCAGTTGTGTTTCAGTCATGAAGCTACTATGAAATGACATGGGTGTGAGCCTCTCTCTTCGATCACTCAGGGAATGTGATACTTCATCCATACCATACCATAGAATGAAAGATGACCATTGAAGGTGCAGTAGAAAAGGAGAAGAAACAAAGAACATTTATTGAGAACAAATAGGACTTCTAGGGATAAAACAGAATTAATTTGATCTCTCTTTTAATTGTAATTTTATTGCAATACTTAAAGTGTATGTAAATATTTATTCACTCTTATAGCTGCTAGACATAATTTAAATTGCCTTTGAATTACTCTAATTTATTTTGCAATCATTTCTTCACCCACATGCATGTCTAGTTGCTTTATAATTCAGTACTTATCTTTAGTTTCATTGTTTATTTTTTAAGTATAAATCATCAAAAAGCTGACTGAAAACAACAAACAGTGATTAGTTGATTAAAAAAATACCTACTAGCTTCCAAAAATTTAATAATGAATATATTTTCCTCTGGAGAATGTAATCCAATATATAAACCAACAATAGACTGCTGTGATTCCCATGAAGTCTGGTGCAAAGTGAGTTGAGGTTTATCGAAATAAAACATTTAATCCAAAACTGGAGCTATAAGAACTTTCAACCACAAGAAGATTTCCAAAGTATGTTCTAGAGAATTTTTAAGCCTTATTTTAAGTATGAATGTTTTCCTGGCATGTATCTATGTGTACTACATGTGACTGTTGAATCCCCTCATAATGGGCTTTAGGTGGTTGTGAGTCACTATATTAGTGCTGGGAATTGAACTTGAGTCCTCTGCAAGAATGACAAGTACTTTTACTCCCTGAGCAGTCTCTCTAACCCTCTACAGATTTTTAATCTGTAAATTTTACACATGAACTATATTATGAAAAACAGCATTTTGTATTAGACGTGTGAACCAAAAAAATTAAATAAAAATAAATAAAAAATAAAAACATGACCAGGGCAAAACAAATGTAGGCATGTGAGATCTCCATGCATGTGACAAAAAATGAAAGACAAGTAACAATAATTCTTGTTTTTATACAATTGTTTATGTTATACATTGAAATAAAATTTCAAAGTTATTCCATTAACTGTTCAACTGAAATGTAATTTAGAAAATACATTAAAAATTGTTATTTTGTTAGTGTAATTTAATGTATTCTTCATGTTGTTTTCAGCTGTTGTACCATTTGTCACTGTCAGGGAGAGTCACTCTGATACAAGTGTCTCCTATTTCCTCTATTATTATAAATCTGGGTCTTCATTTCATCTGTAAGTTGGAGGTAATGGGAAGCAGGTGGCGGTCACGCAATTGAGTTTTCCTAGAACAAATCCGTGTTTGACTCTTTTTAAGATTGCTTTTCTTGGGTTGGAGAGATGGCTTAGAGGTTAAAAGCATAAGCTGTGTTTGTAGACTTGAGATTGATCCCACACACAGATAGTGCCTTATAACTATCTGTAACTCAGTTTCCAGGGGACTTGATGTTCTTTCTGGCGTCTGCAGACACCAGTTGTGCATGTGGTGCACAGGGAAACATGCTTTGTATTAAAATGAATTACCAATAAGTGACGGTACGTATGTCATAATAATAAAAATAGCATCCTTCTCCCATTCACATCCCCAAAGGAACTCAGCTCAGAATAGACACTGGCTTCGCTTGTTATCTGCTGTCTTCAAAGTGCAGCAAACAGACTGGGTAAGAGTATAAGAGTGCCATTCTTCTTTCCCCAGAGTTTAGGAATTTCAATTTGTACCAAAGTCAAAACACACACACACACACACACACGCACACGCACACACACACACATACAGACACACACACAAACACAAAATAAAACGTTTCTCTACAGCTCTGCATTGCAAATGGAAAATAATAAAAAAATTATCTGTAGGGAAAAAATTTGTTATATGAGCTGAAACAACAAACTCAAAAAAGTGGATAGATACGGATTAGCTCTATCACTGATCTATAAAAAGTTTATATGAATAATTGGTCAAAACCAACAGGGTATCTCTTTTGAAATGTTATCTATATGAATTGAACATAGACTACATGGCTGGATGCTGTGTTGGAATGACTTCACACAGTTCTGTCACTGAACAAATAAGAGAGTAAAGTCCCCACAGTCCTTTCTTTCAAATGAAGAGGGAAAGGCTGGGATGGAAGAAGCTATTCAACTTCATCTTCTCTCCTGTGGCTTAAAGTCTCCCCCTCCCTCTCTTTCACTACCACTTAAGAATCTTCCTTATCTTCAAAGCCACATTGCTTCTGCCATCAAATTTGGCTCTTTCTCCTTCTCTGTCCCCTGCCTAGGCTTCCAAACCTCTGTAGGCTCCAACTAGGCCACCAAAGCCACTTAGGCTTGGCTCAGTCCAAGATAACTTTGTTTCCATCAGTGTAAGTTTCTGCACTTACTTATCAGACAAGATTACCGGATATGGTTGTTAGGAATTATATCAGGGCAGGTTCAAGGGGCCATGGCACAACTGAGGCAGTAACATTTTCATTGAGAGCAATCTGGATTTTTAAACCTTTATCAGAAACAGACTATAATGGCAATTGCCAGCATCGATACAGGTGTAGCTGCCAGGATACACTGAAGTTTGCAAGCTATACAGGGTACACAGATAATGTCTAAGACCAATTGTCCTGCCAAGCTTCCATGCTTCCTTGAGTACTCAGGGAAAATACAGAGAAACAAAAAGAAGTATGGATACCTCATTGCCCAAGAGAGTGCATCAGTTTCTCAGGAAATGGAAGGTATATTATGCCCAGGAGCAGTGGATTCTAACCTGAAAAACCTATGATGTCTGCCTCCCAAAGTATAGCTAGGCCAAGCCATCTCTATGGTTTCCTACACGTCAGTCTCTTCATCTTCCATGGTCTCAATGGCAGCTTTGTATCTTCCTCAATATTGAAGTCTACAAAACTAAACTCTTTGAAGAAACCAGTTTTCTAATCTCTAAACAGAATTCTCAAATGATTCACATTGGTGGTATCCTCTGACAGACATTTGACAAACAGAGGTTTGGATGGCTGAATTCTTGTGATAGGCAATACCTTGATTTCTTGTAACTATAGCCTGATTACTCTCGATTTCCATCTTATTATGGAAGTTTATAGCTGCCTTAGCATCTTCAAAGGAAGCAAATTCAATGAACGCATACCCTCTAGATTTGCCATTTGGGTTATGGATCACTTTGACAAAAGCTGCTTACTCATGTACTTCCTGAAAAACTTCTTCTGTTGCACTATAGATAAAGAAGGTTGTGTGAAACCAGATTTTTTGATTCACTACTCCAAGTGTTATTCTTTCAAGATCTCTCTTGCCTTAGTCCCTTTTCTCCAGTGTAGTAGAGTGAAACAGGCCAACCATCAATTCTGTCCTCCTGCTTTTCTTCAAAGATTTTCTCTGCATCAATTTCTGTCTTAAATTCAATATAAGCAATCTCCTTAGGCTCCCCAGCCTGGCTGGCCAATCTGATTTCTGTGGCAACTTCAAAACTTCCTTTAATTCATCCTCATTGATGTTGAAAAAAAGACTTTATAAATATAAAAAGCTTCATGAATTTGTCTGTCATTCTTGTACAGGGGCCATGCTAATCTTCTCTGTATCATTCCAATTCCAGTCCATGAGCTGCCAAAGCACACAAAGGGGTGTCATCCATATCACTTATGTGTTCTTGAAAAGGTAAAAAGGGAGAGGTTTTATATTTATGTCTTCTAAACAAGGTAAGGCCAGAATAAAAAGACAAGTCTCAATCCTTCTACATATCAATGATGATAGACTTATGTACCAAGAGAAATTAGTTAACTACTGTGTTTATCAAAAGTCCAGCATCTTAATGGATAAGAAAAAGTGAAATGAATTGGAGTGCTTTGTTTTTTATATTTCTGTTAACATTCCATAAGCCTTATTTGTCTCATTTGCAATATACATTCTACCATGTATATTAAGAATTCGTAATGATCTTTTCAGACACTATCTTTGTGAGAATCCTTTGTTAGTAAGGATTTCAGTTGCTTGTGTAAGGCTATGGGAAGACCATGTAGAATAGCTGAAGATGCCAGCTGGGCTTTTGTACTCTGACCAGATTCTGCTCCACTCTTGAGCTTCTTAGACCCCAGTAATTAGAATGTTCATATATTTCTCCTATGGGAACCATTGCAATCAAAATTTCAGACTTTGGAGACAGCATTCATGAATTTATATTTATCTCTCCTACCAAAGTCCAACCTGGATTGACGAGAGCAGCATTATATTTAAATGAGTTGTGCCAAAGACACACGGACCTACACTTCCCTAGAGGACAGTCACAGATCTTACCATAGTGAATTATGCATGTTAGTTATATGTTTCTTTTGGCCAGGGTGTTTTTTGCTTTCTTAGTGTTTCCTAATGAGATCAATATTTTAATGATATTTTGGTACCTAGAGGTAAACACCTTGTTTTGTGAAGGAACAGAATGCACGAAACCCTCTGGATATCCTCTGTAATGTTGCAAAATATTTTCTGTCTTGTTGAAATAGTAAAGCATGTGCTCATTTTATCTCAGACAAACTGAGGATTAGTATTAAAAGGAAGGGCAAGAGTCCTGTCTTTTGAAGATTCTTTTAAAAACAAAAAAACAAAAAGGCTTATTCTTTAAGAAATATTCATAACCAAGAGGAAAGCTTCCATTAGACCTCACTAATGCAAAAATTGAATATAAATTATTTTTCTTAATTTCAAAGGCAAGAATTTTAAGGCACATTTTGAAAATGTCATATATAATGATGCCTACTTTATTTTAAAAATGCAGTGTTGACATTCTAATTTATGTTATATAACTCCTTGAATCTGTGTCTGTGTGTAAAACCTATTTCCTTTCTTTTCAGTATGTTTTTTTTTCTTTTTCTCTATGTCTCTCCAGGCACAACAAAGTTCTCCAGGACACCATGACAACTCTCGAGTTCAGGCAACAAAAGAAGAGAGTAGGAGATCCTCTGTGTGTGGTCCTCAAGATGTAAGGATAACCTAAAGTGGTTTGGAAAGGATACAACATTTGGCAATGATAGCTCATGCCATCATGAAGTGTTCTCTTTGGTGGGGCGGGGGGATGTCTACTTTATAAGCATGATAACTTTCCTGTGATGACACAGATGTTACCTAGACAGCAACAGATAAATGTTCTAGATTTTATAGCCAGATTATGCCATGCAACAGAAGGCTTAACATTACATTCATTCCTACAACCACGAGATAGATAATCAAAAGGTTAAGGCAAACAAAGGAACAAGCAAAAGTATATTCTATAGTATATACCACCTAAGAAAAGAAATGTGTCATTGCTGAACAACATGCTAGACAAAGGGAGATCCTCAACCTTCATATGATAAAGAGATAAAAGCCTGAATTGTAGGGGGTCTCTCTTAATAAGTACAAAATTAAAGTATCATCCTTAAATTCTGTTAGCATGAAGGTTTTCATATCTGCCATGAAAGGTTTAGCAAACATTTTTGTTAACAAGATTCAGATACAGGCTCTAGTCCAAATAGAAGTTATATACTGAGACTATCCATGGCTGAAAGAAATAAGCCAGTATCTAAAGGAAATAAGAAAGAAAGGAGAAAACAAGTAAATTCCTACTTATATTTTTGTTCTGCTAGCTCCCAACATGCCCTTGGAAAAAAAACATAATTTCTAAATATGCTGCAACTGAATCTTTGTATATAGGACTATATATCTAGACCATAAAATTTAGGATATAAAGTTAACTAGGAGTAAAAGTCAATATGTTCAGTTGACTTCCACAGAGTTCAGAAGGAAGGAACACCTTTGCAGTGGCCTAAAGTATGAATATATCTTTGCCTATGGGAGAAAATTTTCACAAACAGAAAATATACTAGAGCACTATTGATACAGAATAGAAAATAGAAAGTGATAATATATTCACCCACAGGTTAATAAGGAACCACAAAGTAAGGACTTAGATTCCCTCATTAGAGAATTTAGTTTGGATTATACAATGTTTTCAAATGTTTGTCGACTGAGAGACAATTGTTAGTACATAAGAGGATACTTACAGTTTTATATGACAAGTAGAAAAGTTCTGTTTTGTTCATTATGTTCTATGCATCATTTTGGGTCACCATTTTACAAAAAGGTGGACCTGTCAAAATCCTCTGTGTGTGTGTGTGTGTGTGTGTGTGTGTGTGTGTGTGTTGTTATTTCCACTCTCTCCTACTATTGTTCTCCTTTATAAAGCATCTCCTTTGATGACTCCTATAAGCATATAATTCCCTGGTACTGTCTTCACTGACACCAATGAAACGAATGTCTCTCATATTACTTCAGTAGACATTGGAGTTTGCAGTCTCAACCTTCCAGAAGCTGTAATTCCTAGTGTAGAGATTTCTCAGTCAAAGCTACAGACAAAAAAAAAATAATGCAAGCTAGCTAGTATAAGATGGGAGAATGAATGGCACAGTCTGAATATTAGTTTTCAAGTTTTAAATGAGAATTCTAGTCTGTGACTTCTGAATGATATCTCCCAGAGAACACTTTGAAAATATGACTGCACAGGACTTTCCAGAAATGTTAGCTCAGCATTCCCATAGGTGGATTCTATACAACTGATGTGTTTATTCCAACTACTTCAGGTAATTTCATGCTACAGATGAATTTCACTAAAAGTGGTTTTTGAATAGACATAATCAGAAAATTCTCTGGGGACTTTATTCACATTTGAACAACTATTTGGAGCGTCCCAAATTAATAGATCTGAGGGCCTTTGTAAACTTTCTGACATGGGCCTGATGACTGTTATCTCAACTCAGACAATCTTATTGACATGTGGCCTGTGGAATATAATTTAAAGAGCATGGCTTTAGGAAATATGTAGTCTCCGTGGTATATCATCCAGTAACAAGTTATCTATTTCTTCTATTTCTCTAGTTATATATTAAAATGGTAATTTTATGTAAGCCCCTGCAGTAGTAGTAACAGATTTTATATGAATTTGTCATTTATTATATTATAGCTTAATATATGCATTCATATATGCATGATCATGCATATATGTACATAGCTGTAGGACTGTGATTAAGGGCTGTGAGGCTCCAATGTGCTTATATTGATCTTTGCAATTGCTAAGCTTCCTAGAGAATTGAGTGTAAGTTGCACAGACAAACGCAGAGCCTAGGTAACAATTATCATAAGCACCGAAGACGGGAGGTCTTCTTTCTGCAAGTCACACTTAAGAATGGCACATTTCAGACTTCTTACAATTAACCAGATGAGTGTTCGCATACTTTAAGATCTGATCTGTGGGAACTATTCTTGATTATTATCCTGAGTTGTGTCAAGAATTACGAAAGTGTGGCAGCCATTTCAGTCTAGCATTATGAAAATAATTTCAACATCATTATATATGCAGAGGAAAAGTCAAGCTCCATTTTGGTTTGTATTATTGGATGTATGAACTAACAGATAAAGAATTTAATTTAAATTATTACTCAAAACCACAAGAATTTCCTTCTGTTTCTTTGGTCTCTGCTCATAGGTGTATTATTTCCAAGAACTAGACTTGCAATCCCTAAAGATCCTTTTATGTTTTCCAGACTGAACAGCAGTGTAAGGTTCTATACTCATTATTTGTTTATTTAGCCAGTTGTTCTAGCTGTCATATTTTATCAAATATCTACCCTTTATACAATAAGTTTTTTTTATCCCCTTCATCAAAAACTAAGTCAGTGGTTCTCAGCCCTACTAATGCTGTGATCCTTTAATATAGTTCTTCATGTGCGATTATTTCATGGCTAGTTCTTAACTGCTAATTTTGTTACTGTTGTGAACTGTAATGTAAATGTGATATGCAGGATGTCTGATATGTGACCCTAAAAGAGATCAGAACCCACAGAAGAACAGTTGAACTGATTGATGAAAAGTACGGGTTTACCTTTCTGCTTTCTATTGCTTCAGATTCTGTATGTCTATTGTTTTAGTAAGTTTACACTATCTTTTAATAGCTTCGTATAACTTTAATTATAGTTAATAGTTATTGTTTTGAGATAACATTATAATTACATCTCCTTTCTCTAAACGCTCCTATATACCCCTTCTTGTTCTCTTTCAAATAGGAATATATATTCCTACATACATAAATATAACCTGCACAGTCTGTAATGTTATTTAAATGTTAAATCATCAGAGTTTATCATTTAGTATCAGATAACCAGTTGATGTGCTTGTACTATCTTAATACCTACATCTATCTTAGGACCGTATTATGTTAATACTTATATCTTTACATAACTTCTGAAAATAAAAGGTTAAAATCCTCAAACTTTGTTATTCCATTTTAATACCAAATTGACTATGCAGAACCCATTATAATTTCTTGTAATTTACGTGATTAGCCTGACAATTTCAACAATCCTGCCTGCTATCATTTTGATAGGGATTATATCTATACATTATATTAAGGGCAATTTTCATCCTAATAATTATTCTAATTCATAAATTGTTTGTATAACTACATTTTAATTTTTATCTGAAATTGTTTTTAATTTAGAATTACATTATTTCTGAGGTTAAAAAAGCCTAAAAACAGACTTAGGAAACCTCATTGTCTATAATTTTCAGTGTCTATTTATGTTCAATATTACTTCACCAAAACAGAGATGAATATAGTTGGTTAAAATACTGGAGAAAGAATAGAGTATCAGTCAAATATAAAACATGTTTCTTTTTTTAATCAAAAGTATCTGAAGCAGAATTTCCGGTTAAAGTGGGTAGCTATGTGTGATCAGATAATGAAAGCTCACATTTGGAGTGAAGGTAGGAAGTGGGATATTGAAAGGAGAAATGATCTTCTGGCTTATTCTTGGAACTCTAGAGACATGTAGGGGAAACAGATGCAATTTTTCAGTGCATGATGGTGTGTGCTTGATTCCTGCTGCTCACAGATTGTACTGGATAGCACAAGGGAGGATAAAGAGAAAAACCCACATCTTAGTCAGGTCTACAGTGCTGGTCTTTAGATCACCTTTTGTAAGTGGCTTCATTTCATGGACTTATCAGTACAGGCTATAGCAGTGGTTTTCCAATTTCAATATGGCTAAAAATCCCCAGTCCAGCTGTTAACATGCCCAGGATCCAGTTATACACATTAGCACATCTGTGAAAAGAATCTTAGAACACATTTATTTGAGTAAACCCTACCAGATTGTCTGTTGTCAATATTTTGTGCTAAACACTTTGAGAACCCTGAAGCAGATTTCAAGTATATTTATTTACTTTTTAAATGGCTTCAGTTAGATGATACTATAATATTGGATAAAACTGAGGCAGCAAAGCCTTTTTCTCCATCTCATTTTCCCTCAGCTATTGGTAAGTAATATACTAGAAATTAAAGACATTTTGCATTTTGTTTTCATTTTTAGGAATTAAGAATTGAGACCTAATGTCAATAGGTTTTGTGATAGTTTTACTCCTAGGAGTAGCAGATTTTTTAAGGTTCTTAGGAAATGAAAAGCAACACGAATAATTGCTTTTTCTTACTTCTAGCACATTTGCTCATTTTTCTGCCATGTAGTCTGCTGGCATATTTACTCAGTTGTCTTCCATGTTTATTACTGGCATACTTACTCAGTAGTCTACTACTAGCACACATCACAGTTGGCTGCCACTGTCCTTGCTTGTGACTTCCTGACCAAAAGGAACCTTTTAATCAGCCAAGCACTATATATGGAAATTAGAGGGAAGAAATATCGAGAAATAAAATTCTAGAGCTACAAGTAGTAAATAAAGTCAGTCTTTTTTTTTCCAATCAGGTTTGCAGAGATTTAAGAAATCCCAGTTTGCTGTTAAAGGCAGAGTACATTATGTCTTATGATAACCCTAGTGAGTTGGTGATGATGTGTACTTGATAATCGTCATAATCTCATGCAAGTCATGCTTCTATTCAAGTGGTTTGAGGGACCTGAGTCCATTGTCATTCTAGGCAGTGCTCCCTCATAGCAA